AATCTTCTAGGAACAATTTTTAAACGTCATCGCTTCTGCATGCATTGCGTGCCGTTTATTTCCCATGCCCGCAAGCCTGCGTCTTGGGTCGTTACCAGGGTAACGCAATTTGTCGTGTGACCTTGGTCCCAGTTGAGCGCCAAACTTAAAAGAGAAGAAAAACAAAATGGCGTTTACAAAGTTCTTTGGTCTTTTATTTATTCTGTTGTTTTATAGTGTTGCTTTCGCTTCAGCGTCGATCAATGTCGGCAAAGTGGCTGATTTTGAGCTTATATCCAAAGACAGAATACACGATGGGAAATCCAAACTGGAGGAGTTCACTGCGAACGCCAAAAGCAGCGATTGCTGGAGGAAAGCCGTTCAAGGCATCGAGAAACGTTGCAAGAGTCTTGGAGATATTGAACAGAGTTATCTGGCGATTGATTTCACAAACTGCCATATGTCGAAGTCAGGAAGGAAAATATATTCGTGCTCAAGGGAAACACAGTCGATTGAGCAATGTACGGGATCAATGGACGACACGACTTATCTCGCTTACACGACATTTTTCACTCATACAACTAACATCTGTTTCTATGTTAAAAGCGAAATATGGCAACAAAGAACGGAAGATACAATCTCCAAACTGTCAAGAACTTCACAAGATGTCGCAGAGCAGCTGGAGGAATCTGCTGAAAGACAATTTCTGGTACTAGAGAAGCAAAATGTTTCACTGGAAAACCAGAAGGAGATCATTTCAAACGAAATCCATCTATCTGAGACACTTCGAAACTCTACGTTAAATGCTAAGAAAGCTTTTGAGGACATGAAGCAAAACGCCCTTGAACAAAAGGCTTTGTTTTCTGAAACATTTGATGGGTTCTTCAAAAGTGTGGAGAAAGTCAGGAAACTTCAATCCATGATTCTTGGAGAGTTCATAAGTTTGCAATCTGTAGCGTTCTACATTGCTGCAGTATGTACCTGTTATTTCCTTACCAGTACCCCGCGTACAGCAGCAGCTAGACTTCCACTGTTTATTGGGTTGTTTGTTCTTATGTTCATTGAACGGCTTATGACATCTTGGGGAGTGGCAGACACCCAGTCAACTGACACAGTAAGATGTGGGATATTGACCAAGTGAGAGGTCAAGAAAGCTTGATATTGACCAAGTTCTGTTTTTTTCTTGTTTATGGTCCAAGATGATTAAACAAGCAAAAAAGGAACAAGGCCTTCTTGATTGAAAAAGCTTGGTTAAGATAGGATGTATTAGTTCATATCTGATTTATTATTTAGCATAAATAACACCATTTTCTTGCAGGAAATGATGGGTAATCTGGAGTAGGAAGATAGCCCCATCTTGCTCACTCAGGTGGCCAATCACACAGGGCTTCCATTAAGGGCCGCGCACCGGGCAAATTTACCAGCTGTGAGGATAATTTTACCTATCTGGTTTGACCATCTCATAAAGAAGTTCAGTTCAAAAACTTTTTCCTGCCTATGAAAACCAGTTGCCCTCCTGTTGAAAATGTCAGTGTAACCCCTGTCGTAGCACAGGATTTGGTTCATCTTGCCCTGACTCATAGAGCTAGCCAATGAGTGAGCCATATGATAAAATTGCTTTTGTTTATTATTACAATGACTTTCTTAACTCTAAGTGTCCTATGTAAAGTAGTGGTGTCATTGTTTTATTAACCTAACTGAATTTAAGTCAAAGGTTTGTGTTTCAGTATAATTGGTAAAGGGTACACTCATCCTATGAACTATGGTATAAACAGTTCAAAAGTTGTAAATAGTAATAATGCAGTGCCAAATTAAAAACAATGTTTATAGCAGACGTTTCGGGCGTAGCCCTTCCTCAGTGCTAACTTAGCACTGAGGAAGGGCTGGGCCCGAAACGTCTGCTATAAACATCGTTTTTAATTTGGCACCGCATTACTACTATTTACGACTTTTGAACTGTTAACTGTGCCACACAGCAACTGATCCTTTTGGATTACAAATATTTTTTTACAGTATATACAGGCCATTGACAGGCTGCTGAAAGTAACAAAAACTTTATAGTGAGTTATAGTGAGTTATCATCCACGATGGGAGTATAGGTAAAGTCTAGAACAGTCTAATGAGAAGCCAAGGGGCTCATAAGTGCCATTGCTTCACTCCAGTTTCTAAAAAATAAAGTAACAAGGAAAACTGTTACTCTTCTTGGATTAGACTCAATTACTAGCTGCTGTTAAAGGAAAGGAGTATGTACTCCTAGACTTTCTAACGTCCTTTCCAATAATTCTTCCCTGGCCTGTTGGTTCTGCTGCTGGAAAGGACCTGTTGGGACTTATGTCACTCATGCTCGAGACTTCGTCTCTTGAAGATTGCCCTCTCATTTTGCTTGAGGGAGATAAAAGCAAAGTTTGACTTGTGGGAAGTCTAATGCACTTCTTCCCAGAAAAGAAACAAGACCAGCCTCAAAAGAGTGGCAGAAATTGAGCCTATTCCTAGATGGATTTCCCATCCATTGCAGGCCCACCTTCAGCAATTTTTCAACTTAGTTGCCCTGGCAATTGACTTGTGCCCAGTTTTGCTCATGTTTGGAGATAGATGCAGTAAGGGTAACAGCCAGGGTTTTTGAGAAATACATTGCATGGGTCAAAGAAGCCAATGCTATCATAAACTAACCCAGTAACCACATTTACTATTTACCCTTTTTTTTCCTTGCAGGAGGTTATTCATGGAAGACTGTGGCTCTGTAGAAAGCTTTCTATTATAGTAGCCACCCTTGTGCTTATGGTAGTGGGATATCAATACCAGGACTACAATAAAATCAACTTTGACATGCTTCGTAATATGCAACTCCAGATTACAGAAATGAAACGATGGCAGGAGAAGATCAATAGTATGAAGGCAATAACAAATGGAGAATCACCACCACACCAGTCTTTACCAAGTACAAGGTAATGTTTAACATCGGCAACAATTTCTGTGTACTTATAAACAGAAATCAGTACAACAACAGCAGAAGCAATAGTCTGATTGTCCTTCTGTTGTTGTGTATTTTTGATTTTGTATATGCACTGTGAAATCAGTGATTCGATCCTTGATTCGATCCCACAGAAAAATTCCTTATTACTCTACACATATCACACAACAATTCTATGCTCAAGGTTTTGAGCCTCTCAAGTCATCCTGCTTTGCTTTTTGTGGTTGTAAGATTTTTTTGTTGTTCCCTCCTCCAATTCTACAATCCTGAGAGTGGCCAGGGAGGGGAACTGGGCTCCCTAGTCAATAGTTCATTGAAGAAACTTGGTATATTTTCCATTTCAAACTGACCGCATTTCAAGGCTAGAAAATTAATGTTCAAAAGAAATGTAGCAGGTGATGCGTGCAAAACTTTGATTCTCTGAAAATGCACTTGTCTAGTAGAAAGAAAACTCATTTGATTGTTAGGATGCGTTGAAGCTGCTTTCTCTGAGTTCTTATGTACAAGTCATACATGTAGTTAATAGAGGGGAATGGTTATGAAACCCAACAAAGTTCATCGTTGTAGTTTTTGTTCACTTTTTTTGACCTTGACTGTGCACAAAACACAACAGTTGTTTACTTCTGACTGAGGAGCAAACCAATAGAAACGTTTTGGTTCTGTAATTCATGCATAGTGTATGAGTGCAAAACAAAAGTTTGTGCATGGTCGTGGACCTTCCAACAAACCTTGGCATCTTTGTTTGCTCCTCTGATGTTTGCCGGGCTTCAAAACCATTCCCCTCTATCAACTATGGTGTAAATCAATGAACAAATTCTTCTGCACACCAAACATTGTAAATGTGTTTCCATTGTTTAAGCCTTTCACAACAGAGTATCACTCATCCCAGATACTCAAATCACGGCAGGCCATGTGACATACCAGATGCTTCTATGGACAACAATGCACAAAATCTGGGTGATGACGATGATGATGATGATGATGAGTCTGATCATAGTTTTGTTCCCGACGAGTGGGAACTAGAGAGTTTTTCAGAAGAAAGCAGTGAAGAAGAGGAGGAAGAAGATGAAGAACATGATAAGGTTGGTGGCCAGAAAATAGAGCCTGATATTACAACACCAGTGACCAGGAAGAGGTCAAAAGGGACACCACAAGGGACGTCAACAATGACCTACTCTGCATCATCCAGGAGGACAAGAAGTAGAGAAAGAGTGAGTTCCAGTGCACTGACCAAGGGTGTCTGGAAAACCCGAATAGCGAATAGTCTCGAATAGTGCGAATAGCGGCGAACAGTCGCGAAAAGTGGCGAATAGTGACGAATAGTCGTCAATAGTCACCGCTTTAGATCTAACATCCTGCGTTAATTAATTATCCAAATAAGCTACAGAATTTCAGTGAATTCATTACCTTTTCTTCTCCGGACTCAGGCTAGGGCTGTCCATCGCCGACATTAAGAAAACAGAAAACAGAAGGATAACCTAATAAAGTTGTATTTACGCTTTGACAGAGGTTAAAACAGAAGAAATTACGTTTAGAAACACCTTTTGTCCTGATAAGCGTCTGTGCTTTTTAGCGGGAAAATCCCATCCTTCGTTGCCGCGAGGTTGACTGCGAGATACAGGGTACCCTATTTGCTACGATTTGCCACTATTTGCCACTATTCGAGACTGTTCGCCACTATTCACTATTCGCTATTCGGGACTATTCGTTATTCGCTATTCGGGTTTTCCAGACACCCCACTGACCAACGATTGTTCAGTATCTTTTAATGGACTCTGAACATTTTACAACAGTGACTTACAGCAATGACTCTCAAACCATGAACACTTCACGTTTTGGGGGGTTTTTTTGCGCATTTTTGTTTTTGGCGACTATAGAATAAGGGCTCATCATATAATGCAAAAGAGGTTGATGCTGAATGCTATGTTGCTATGAAGAGCCCTCATTTAGTCACCAAAAAATGTCAAGTGTTCATGGTTCAAGTGTCCACACTACGAATCGAGTTAAATCATGCAATATGATTGGTTGCACTTGCTAGTTTTTCGTCTGAACCGTTCACAGTCCAGATCCAGAAAACAATTTTTTGCGTTCTTTTCTCAGCTTGCACGATGATCTTGAATTCATCTCTGCCCCCAAAGAACACTTTGCCCAGTATTTTTATATCTGGATATGTCAATTGCAACTTTCTACCTGACATCCTTGTTTCCTAGTAATATAACTGGCCGATTAATTTGCTCCCAACCTAGGGAGCTTGACTTGCCATTCCCCCTCTCCCCTATATTGCAACCCTTGTGACTAATTTACTTTCTCGTATTAGTTGCAGGCTCCTGATTCAAGTCCATCTTATCGTTACAACCTACGATCGAGAAGAAACACTCCTTCAGATATTCACAATGGCAGTTTCCTCAGCAACATGCCCTCGCCATCAAAACTAAAGGAGTTGATCAAAACTGTCCAGGAGAGATCCAGTAGGCGCTACACAGCTGTGATACGCTCGCCCAGGAACAACAACACTGATAACACACCATTGTTTTCATCCGATGAAGAATGCTGAATATTCCCTTGGTCAAAACTGTTTCTGTTTTTGCCTTTGTATAATGCAAACGTTAATTCCGTTTAATTATCCGTGCCTTTGCCTACTGCGATTAAGCGATGAAAAGGCATTTTAAATAAAGAAATTATCTGAGAAATTTCATAGAAGTAGCTCGTTCGTGCGTAGGTTTTGTCTGTTTTTTTGTTTAATTCCTTTTCCTTTACTGCAAATCTGAAATTACTGAACTTTCGCTTTTAATTCCTTGACTTGCTAGTTATCACCAAGAGCTGCTCTTTCAAATAATTCTTACATTCCTTATTCCTTTTTCTCGAAAAGAAAAAAAAATGAGCGTAAACCTCATCTCAACTAACTACGATTTAGTCCCATGAATCATTTCAAATTACAAAGAGCAATTTGACCAGACTGGAAGAGATAAACAATTACGTATTTAGCCGATATCCTTTCTCATTTAAGTAGTTTTCCGATATCCAGGCAGGGCATTTTTTTATCCTGAGAAATGGATTGTTCCACACTCGTCTAGATCTCCTTTTCTGTCATGTAAACAATTTGAAAATATTGTGTAGTTAGAGTAGTTTTAAATCTTGAGTCGTTCTTCTGGTTGCATATTGTTGAGGCTTATTCACCTATGATATTGTCGTCTACGTTCTCCTTGCACAGTAGTTTGTTTTATTTCTTAATAAACTTTTCTCAACTTTAATGGACTCTCATATTTGAAAGATAGCTAATGACAAACTAAAAGGTGAGCTGTATTTGTTGTAATGTCTACTAGAAGTTATTTTAGAGCAGAATTCAACCACTTTGTCCCAGAAAAAGAAAACTAAATGATGTTATAAAAATCTGAATCATTGGAAAATGCAATTAACCCATTGACACCTGGAGTTTTTGGAAAAAAAACGCATTTTTTTTGGACATTATTACCCTGGATATGAGCTAAATACTCAAAAAGGCATTTGCAATAAGACAACATGCCTTTCTCTCCACTAGCATCGCGTTTTATGACATTTTTGCTCGTGCATGCGCAGAGATGTTTTCTTTTTTTCTTTTTTTATTATTATTTTTTTTTGCCTTTCCTTTTTCTCCTTTTCTTATCTTTTTGCTGCAGTTGTTGACCTGGGCTTGTTTCCAGTTCAAGAATTCCCGAGAAAGCATCATCGAGAAGGGGAATCCTTACCACGAAAGTGTAGTAGGGGGAAATTTTGCTCCGAGTTTTTCACCAAAATTTCTAAGCATTTTCGTGCATATTTCACGCTCTATCGACCCAGTAACTCTGATCTGGGTATTATTGGAAATATCTTTCCCTCCTTCAGAACTTGAGTGTAAGTGATGCCAGTTTTGGTCAAAGGTGATGACGTCAGAAGTGGAACAAAGGCCAGCGATCATCATGGGCGGCACAGGCATAAATAGGTTAAAGAGTTTTCATTGGCTTAGCCATCATGGTATATATAAACAATAGCCTCCATTTGGCGCGAAAATATGCCCGGATAATTGTCCCCGGACATTATCTGTTTCGAGAAGCGAACAATTTTCCGAGAACGTACGGAAAACTGTTCGCTTCTCGGAACAGATAATGTCCGCAGACAAATGGAGGCTATGAACTGTTTATTCTAGATTTAAGTCAGCATCTTATTCACATGGTAGTCAGCTTTTCTGGTTCACGATTCTAAATACAAAGAAATAAAACACAGTCGGACTATATAGAGTTTGATACTGCTATAGGACCTCTTTTACGATTCAGAGAAGACCCTTGCAGTGCGCCCAACGTGATGCTCTGCGCTAACTTGCTCTAAAAAGTCTTTACACGTCTCGATATGTTTTTCTTTTTTGAGAAATAACTAGTTCAAATTCACCAGAATAAATTTGAATTTTATGGCTTTAATACCGGCAGTGTTTTTATCGGAAACTTATTTGTGATACAACACAATAAATGGTCGTAACCTATTCGAGTTGATTAACCTGTGCTTTGCTTTCTGATGCGTGCTTGATTCAAGAAAGGCCTTTCTTCACTGGTTTGAGTAGTCTTACATGGAAGGCATTGTTTAACGCATATTTGATGAATTATAAGCACGGATATTTGTCCGCGGACATTATCTGTTCCGAGAAACGAACAGTTTTCCGAGAACGCACAGAAAACTGTTCGCTTCTCGGAACAGATAATGTCCGCAGACAAATGAAGGCTATAGGCCCTTTGCAGCTGGGGTCACGTGACCACATTTTTTCTTTAAAAAATTTCTATTATGGGCTATAACTTAAAGAATGCCAGAAATGGAAAGAGCATACTGAAAATACCAAACTGGCCAAGTTTGAATTTTTAAAAATAAGAAGATTTGTATGGAAAAAGTTGTTGGAGAGCAAGGCCTTGCTCTCCAGCAACAATTTCCATACAAATCCTCTAAATTTTCTGAAAATTCAAACTGTCGTATAAACTTACTCTTTAATACAAGGGACCTCAAACTTGGCCATTCTAGTATTTTTAATATGCTCTTTCCATTTCTGGCATACTTTAAGTTATAGCCCATAATAGAAATTTTTAAAAGAAAAAATGTGGTCACGTGACCCCAGCTGCAAAGGGCCTATTGTGAGCGTACGTGTAATTTTTGGGGACGTTTTTATTTTAGTTTAGTTTTCTATAGTTTGGGGGGCGTTTTTAACAATAAAATTATTCCGCTCATTCTTGTTGGATATTAGATGACTTTCATCGAATCGTAATCCTGTCAAACAGGTCTAACCAGATATTCTCCTGAGGGATGTCTGCCATATCTTTATTTTGTACAAGCGATTAAGGTTACCGTATACCTTCAGATCGGCAATTTTCTCCAAATTTGGATTTTTGGGTCAAAGTAATGGCAATTTCTGAAAAAAAAAAATTGAAAAAAACTAACTATTGGCGGAGAAATGGAGGTTTTACGTTATGGCCGGAAGTAAAACTTCCCTCTTGATTGACAGCCCTATAGCGTGTGTGCAATCGCGGAGACGACTTTCGCGGGAATGTTACCTATATGGATACCACGAATAGGCCCTTTGCAGAATCCGGTCACATGGTACGGAATTAATTATGCTGGGACGCAAGTTACACAGTGGGACTTCAAAACAAAGGAAAGTCGGGCTGGACTGGTACATGGTGCGAGTTCCTTTGTTTTTAAAATCCCACTGTCTAACTTGCGTCCCAGCATAATTAATTCAGTACCATGTGACCGGATCCTGCAAAGGGCCTATTGGCTGGCTACTCAGTTAATCAGCGTTGTAAATCCATGCATTTTTCGTAGTAGGTGTAATTCTATTAAGTTATAAGTAAACATGGACCACGGAAAACTCCGTAGACCAGTTCGAAAAAGCGAAAACAGCGAAGAACGAATGAAAATACATCTCGGAGTGAAGAAGCGAAAGTTGGCCTCGCGGATGAAGCTATAGCTATCGTATCAAGCGGGCAAAAAGATTGAGTCAAGAGAAGAGACAGGTTCTGTAAAAATTTGGGGAACTTGACAGCGATAACGGCGATGTTCACAGTGACTCTTCTGTTGAGTCCGATACTGATGAATCGTCGCACTCATCGAGATCCATTGGAATATTATCCATGCACAATTGTTCCGTTGCGCTTTCTTTTGTTTGTTTTCTTCGCCCAGCCACTCTAGCGTTGGTATCCTTTTTCGTCTTCCTCATTTTGCCAGATCAGCTTCAAGAAGAACTGAGATACAGAAAAATTATCTCTCAGTCTTGAGCGCATTGCAAAACACAAGGATGTTTTGGAGATTCGCGCGTAAATTTCACCGCGTGGTTAATGGTAGTAGACTTTCCAAGTGCTGATTGGCTCAGTAATTTGAGAACCCAATTGAAGGCATTCGTGGGCGGAGTTTGTTTGCGAAGCAAGAGGTTTTTCTTAGCGCTTTTTTCTCGAATAAATTTTTTCGCTTGAAGCAGACACTTCAAAGAGTTACAACTCAAAGGGAATTTCTTCGATTGCCCTCAAATTTGGACAGTAGGTAGATTAACATATAAACAACAAAAATGTATCTGCGAATTGTTCATTTCGAAATATGTTTTCTCCGAGAGCGATTTTTGTACGATCACTTCACAGTTTTTAAATCCTATTTTGAAAATGTTCTGTAACTTTTTACTGCAATTGAATATGGCAAAACACAGACACGCTTTTTTAGCGCTTTTTGTCCTGAAACCAAGGAAAAAATGAATTGGCGAGAAAGAAAATTCGCTTTCACTTGTAGCTTCTGAAAGGTAATTAGGGCGCTCGCATTTAGTGGTAATGAAAAAAATCGGCATTTCATTTTATTTCAAAATTCTTGGTATGGTTTGATAGCCAGCTCTATGAGCTTTAATTTGATATGGGGGTTTAGGTATCACAGCTTAAAGGTCCGGTAATACGGGCAACATTTTCCTTCAGCTTGTCTCGCAACATTGTTGCATTGCAAGTTGAAATACATTGTTGCGCGTATTGCCACGTTTGTGACCAACTTGTCTCGCAGCAAAATACAGTGTTGCAAGTCTGCAGAATTCTACAGGTATAATTGCTTAATCG